TTGCGCTAGGCACGCTCGACTCTTGATGTTTTGGCGAGGGATCTCTCCAGCTTTGGGGGTTCGCACGAAACCAAATCATAGCGTTAACTGCATCTTAGCCACCCGTTCACCTCTTCCCACTCTCTGGGGTGGAGATTTGTTTGGAGTTGATAATCACAAATGGCTGGATTTTTCGTCATTTATTTGCGGGGGAGAAAAAAGGACATGCGAATGGAAGAGGGGGCATGAGTATGATGTATAATCCAGGAGACGAGTCATATTTCACTGTGACATTTTCAGCAAGCAGTCCTCCCTTTGAGTGCAGAGCCCCTGTTGGGCTGAGAGCTGCTGTGGCTTTCTCTGTTAATGCCATTATTAGAGACTTTTTTCTTTCTCCAGCTTGTAAATTTCTGCTGCATTATCATAAAGTGTAGTGATTACTCAGTGTATAAAGACAATAATGATGTGAGCAGGCAGCATATGCCCAGGTCCTGGAGAACAAGAGCTCGGCATGCTGAGACGAGAGGCTTATGCAAACCTGACGCTGCAGCGCCCCCATCTGACCAGTGCAGGAAGTAAGTGTGCGCCGTCACACGGGTGTGTGTGTGTGAGAGAGAGAGCGTGTGAGTGGGTGGGTGGTGAGAAAGAAAGCAAGAAAGAGAACAAACAAAAGAAAGGAAGGTAGGTAGAATGAATGAGAGCTCCAGTGTTGAGACTGGAGAATATGTCTTGGCATTTGACTCCGGATGTTGTTTTACTACATCTCAGAAGGATGCATAGTTAGCTGCTGCCACTCCGCAAAGACCTCCCAAAGTTACCGCACCATGTGGTCCATATTTCTCTGAATCAGTGCGGCTGGATTTTGGCCTTGATGGATATTCATCTGAGCAGTTGGATGAGTGAAGGTTCTTACTTTCTCCTCGTGGCTCAGTGGCATAACTGCATCTGAAGATACTTTCATCTAGACTGCATGTTTTCTCTCTCTGTCAGCCATCCTTCTGTTTAGACTCATAATGAATTGAAGTCTCAAAGGCAACCTGAGCAACCTTCAGTTCAGAGGCGTCATGCCCATTCAAAGTGAGCCCCCTCAGATTTCTGAGCCAAGTGGATTTTTAATGCAGCTTCCAAAAGACAAAAAATAGCAGAATAATATTTTTTATATTTGATACAATCACACCGGTGTGATTAGAACTTTCATCACCAGCTGCTAAATTCAAATCTGCGTTTGCTGGCAGCCGCTGAGCCAGGTACAGATGCGTTTTTACAGCACTGCACATAATAACCAATCACACACGATTCTGTTGAGCTTATGAATGCAATGGCCAATCAGAAAAGTTCAGATGAGTTCAGTTTTTCAATTCAGTTTTGTTCACTTGCTCGCTGACTGAATACCTCTTTCTGGCAAATTCTCTTGTCACAACAAAGTGCAGATGTGCGTACGAATGTAAGTAAGATATTCATTTCACAGTGTAAACAGCTTCAGTGATTTTAATGGGAGTTTTTGAGAGTGCCTGAACTCTATGCTAGACAATGAAAATGTTCTTTGATAATGTAAATGTTCTTTGCTCTGTGTAAAATGAAAGTGTTATAATTAGTAACTTACAATATTGTTATTAAATTCACATTAAATACAAAGTCAGCCGTATTAAAAATATTTTATGGCATGACACCCATATCTGGTACTTAAGTAAAATGTCAAGTTTTTATGTGTAGTTAATAGATTACACTAGTCTACTTTGCCCATCACCATTTATTGATTAAATAACATAATCTATAAAGGTGCAAAACGCATTTACTTACACATATTTGAGATTCGAGATATTTCCTGATATAGGTAACACGTTTTGGGAATATTTAGAATAAAAAGGAACAAAATTAATAAAACACAAGCCTATAGCAGTTATTCAGTGCTATTGTGTGTCCCCCCAATGTGCCCTCTCAAAAATGATGAGTACATGACGCCCCTGCTTCAGTTGCAGCTTTTTTTATGTATTTATTTATATAAATATTTTTCATGTATTTCTATTTTAAGTATATATATATATATATATATATATATATATTCATACTACCTAACCCTTAGAGATTTAAACCACACTTAAAAATGTATGAATGTCATTTAATTAATAGAAAATATATAATCAGATAGCATTTATTTTAAAGATAGTTCACACAAGAACACTTTCAAGCAAGTAAGTTGGAAAGAAAAAAGTTTGTTATATGAAATGATATAACATACATTCAAAACTCAGGCTAGATGTATTCAAACACTTTCTGTTCGTATAAAGTTAGTGTGATGAACTACACCTGTGGTTGTTCTACTAGGTCATCTGTGTGAACTTTATGCTTAACTGGCTTCATACTTTTACTACAAATCTCTGCAATGCCCGTTGCTTAACGGTAATTCAAAAATAGTTCAGAAGAATTTTAGTAGTTTAGTTTTTTATATAAATTGCAGGTAGATATAAATATGTTTTTTGCAGGTGGCACTTGCTTTGATATTTTATTAAATGCAATAACATTCAGATATTTTTAACTGTCCAAATACCTTTTAGGGCCACTGAATTATCCTTCAATATAGACGGGCAGATCAGAGCACACACGTTGCCATTTATTTGATGGATAGTGATGCATATCTTTTAAAAGCAACTAAAAACAAAGTGCTTTGTGAAAGGAGAAGCTCTTAACTGCCTGTGCGTGCTCAAAGCTCCCAGACTGAATGAATTCAAAGGGTGACCCCTTGGCTTGTGATTATGTTTGTGTAAAATCTTAAGGATGCCGATCAAAGCAAGGCTCTTGTCCGCCTGCCCTTTTTTTTCCAAGATAACAGCTGGCATTCAAACAGAGTTTTCCTTGAACTTTTTTTTTTCTGCCAGGATTCCCATTATGAGGCAGGCCTCTTTCTCATCTCAAGGATGGCTCATTGAATAAAGAGAAAGAGAGGAGTGGATGGGAGGGGAGGAAGTGGAGGGAGGGCTCTGATTAATCTTCTTCCAGGGTGGGGGTGTTTGATCAGTGGACTTGGCCCGGGAGGAGTGGGATGGTTAGGAGAGAGGGGGTATCTCTGATGTTGACAGCAGGCGACTTTTGCGCATGGCATGTGATTGACGTGCCTGGCCGCTTGGCCGGAGGGGGGGTGCTCTGTGTCCGGTGGGGCATAGCCGGCCCCTGTCTGTGGGTGGTGGTGTTAATAATGTGGCAACTGGGAAGATTAATTGTAGACAAGCAGCAGGATTATGAGCGGCTTTGTGGCCGGGACAGGGCTGTTTGTGGGGAAGGCCTCTGATCTGTCAGGTCCAGAGGAAATTAGCAAGGGCGGACTGAAGCTGACACTAAAAATGCTGCTTTAGGATATTAAAGCCAAATGGCCAGAGGAGATTGAAATGGTAACAAGGAAACTGCTGACGTACTCGGAAAGCCTGATGCAGCTGCACCCCACTGGATTTGTGTAATTAGGACGATAATTAGTCATGTGATAACAACAACGGGGGGAAAAGTAATACGTTTTAAAAGAAAACATTTTCTCCATTTTCTGTTGCTTGGCAACTATAAACAGCTTGCAGATAGTAACCTTTGGAAGAGTGTTTTGGAATGTTTTATTATACATTAGTGTCTATCATAAATATTGCTGTATTTGCACTTTAAATTTCAGTCAACTTTATTTTATATTGTTTTTGCTTAATATAAAACACTTAATATTAATACTTTTATTCAACAAAAAAAATCAATCAATCAATCAATGCCACTCACACATTCTTTAAAGAATCCTGAAAAATACGAAGCAGCACAACTGTTTTCAGCATTGATTATAAGAAATGTTTCTTGAGCAGCAAATCAGCTTTCTGAAGGATCATGTGACACTGAAAACTGAAGTAATGATGCAGAAAATTTAGCTTTGCCATCACAGAAATAAATTACATTTGAAAACATATTCAAATAGAAAAAATTGTAAGTGCAAATGCAGCCTTGGTGAGTGTAAGTGACTTCTTTCAAAAACATTAAAAACAAAAACAAAATTCGTACCGACCCCAAACCTTTGAATGGTATATGAATAATTCGTTCTCAGCACTAAGCCGAGTGTTTTCAATGAATTAAATCAAAATAGGCCACCTCTACTCTGTTTATTTGTAATTTTAGCCCTCACAGTGATTAAATGCTCTGAGAATTCCTGCCTGCGGAAGAGCAGAATATTTTCTCAAAGGCATCAGATATCAACACATACTGTGTTTTTGGTCCTTGAAAGAAGACAAAGGAGATAGAAAACAACACTGACCTACCAGAAGCACACAGGCCATCTGTATTCACTCCAGCTCTTCCCCTGTTCTGTCTGTCTATGCGGTGGCCTTTATGTGAATATATTTGTATTTTTAAGGTCGGCCAGTGAGAGATGAGTTTACTTAAACTCAGGTCTGGCCTTTGGAGAGCAGTAATTTCATGCCACCTGTTAGATGGTCAACACACAACAGCGTGTGTTAGTGAGTGGCAGGCTGACCCGGGCCTGACCCGCGGGGCTCTTCATGGCTGAATGGTGACTGGGGCCCTTCCCCTGGTGGCCCCCTCTCTTAAACAGGCAGGGGACAGGTAATCAAAGCCAGGGCCCGTCCTCACCTTTCACTCCTCTCCCTGCAAAATAATGAAAGTTGCCCTCGTCCTGTGCCCCAGATAAAATAAGAACGCCGCTCCTAACATTTCCTCTCCTCGGTGCTGATAAAATTTATGGCATTTAGACAGTCAGTCGTGGAAGTGAAATCTCACCCGCATTCTTCGGTTGTCTCTCACTCCACCGTGCCTTTCCATTCTCTCTCCCTTTTGTGTCATCATTCTGGGAAAATATTCTAGATTGCTCGTGACAAATGAGTTCTTTTCATTTAACTCAATTAGGATCATTGCATGCAGAAGTCAATAACCAACATTTCTCCTGTCTGTGCTGGATAATGAATCGTTGGAGACGTTATAAATGTTCGCAGGTGTGTAAACTGAGCACGCTGAATTTATGTTTGTCCAAACTCTTGTTCTTTCAGGACACCGCCAGTGATGTGAGATCCGAATCCACCACTACGCCATACACCCCGCTGCCACGAGGATCCAAAGACGTCCGGAACCACAAAGGTAGTGTTATTTAGACAAAAAAAGTGACAATTGCATGGCAGGTATCTAAACAAGCGCACCCTCCATTGCTAATAGAAGCTGTGCAGAAGAGATGTTTCTGATGTGCTGGACTCTTTCACGCAGGCCACATTTATCATGCTCTTTTGTCTGTGCAATGCAAAGTGCTGTTTTTATGTCACGGCCACAGCGGTGGTACTTTCATGCGAGGTCAGCTGTGTGCCTCTCAGCCCCCCACCAAGGACAGATCTATTTCACAAAGGCTGACCTGCACCTCTCAAGTGATGTAGAGGAAAGCCCAGTGCTTTGTCAAAATCATGCTGCTTGAGAATAGTCCATTAAAAGGTGAACGGAGCTGACATATGAAATATTTTTTCTCCCTCTTAGATTTGGGCGAGCTGACACTCTCCATTTGTTATTTTTACGATACTGTACTGCAGCGTTAGATAACACAAGCCCTCATCTTTGTCCTTCGCCTCGTTTTATTCCTCTGCCTTTATCGTGCCATTTTTATTTATCTTGACTTATTGCCTATTCTATTTGCTTAATGCATCGGCTCTGACACTGTAACTCTTTACTAAAACTCACCTTTGGCTGTGCCATGAAAATGCTTTAATAGAATAGCCATGACACTAAAAGATGCAGTTCACCTCCAAGACACTGTCAGTGGAAGTCGAGCATTGTGTTTGGATTGCTGATAATTCATGGGGCGTCTGTGTAATCACAATGCAGTGCAATTACTGCCTGCTTATATATTGTAGTATTTTGCTCTTAAAGGTGACATGTCATGAAAATCTGACTTTTCCAGGTTTTAAGTGCTATAATCTGGTCCCCAGTGCATCTACCAACCAAGGAAACGTGAAAAAGATTAACCCAGTAACTTTGTTTTGGTAAGCCTTTTTCTGCAAGCGTCTGAAAAAACGAGCGCATCTGATTTCGCTCCCTTGCTGACGTGGCAAAGGGATCTCATTATAATATTACCGCCCCATAATCTGTAAGTTTACACCCACGGCGCCGTTATTGTGTTTTCGCAAGCGACAACAGCGTACAGTTCTAATGCCATGACGAAAGTTTGAAAAAAACATGCTAACTGTTCTGCCTTTGTCTGCACAGACGAGCACATAACACTATTTACAGTCCCAGCCTCAGAGGAGACAAGAGAGCAGTGGATTTATTGATTTAAAAGATCAGAGTTCATAGAAGGAGACCCATGGAACCTTCAAGATTTGAAGACTGTTTGTGTAGAAGAATGGGCCAAAATTACACCTGAGCATATGACTAGTTTCGAGTCTCGAAGCTGTCATTAACAACAAAGGCTTTTGTACAAAGTATTAAATACATTTCAGTAAACGTGTTCAATACTTTTTCCCTGGGTCATTCCAATATATTACACAGAACTTAATTTCTGAACTTATTTGTATTGTTTTCTTTGTATGTATGGATTGCTTGTTACCAACATCTTTACCCGCTGTGTGTGTGTGTATATATATATATATATATATATGTGTGTGTGTTTTCTGCTTCCACTCAAAATAGGCATGTGAAATACTGGGAGAATATAGTCTGGTCAAATGAGACCAAAATTAAACTCTTTGGATGCCATAATACACACCATGTTTTGAGGTCAAATGACACTGCACATCATACACCTGAGCATATGACTAGTTTCGAGTCTCGAAGCTGTCATTAACAACAAAGGCTTTTGTACAAAGTATTAAATACATTTCAGTAAGCGTGTTCAATACTTTTTCCCTGTGCCA